GGAACCACTGAACCCAGTGATTTAACCATCATTGTTAAAAGAAGAAGTGCAGCCAGATGAATGTCAGCAGTCTGGTGTTGGTCAAAGCTCTGGCAGGAAGCTGCTTCTCCGCTCTTCAAGCCTCTCTGTGCTTCAAGATTACGTGGGTTCGGCACTTCACCTAAAACAAAGAGGATGGAAACCTGTTATGGAAGGAAGTGGTCAACAACGTTCTGACTGTTTGATTCAGGAACATCTACCTCATGCCAGATGAGTGTTTGAAGGGGCAGGGCCAGGTGACAATGTGGGCAGGTGCTGATCTGGTCTGGGTCTCCTCTGTCACCCCAGGGGTCACGGCTGGCTGAGTGCGCGAAGAACATTTCTTTACGGACACTGCTCAGCTGAGGAGTACCTCCCTGTCTAAAAGAATGGTCCTCTTCATCCTCTTCCTCTTCAGCTTCTTCTTCATTAAGGCTCGCTGCAGGAACACACTCCTGCTAATGTGAGAAGAAAAGAGAAATGGCTGTTTTGTGTGTTTTAGTGTCACAGAAAAACATGAGCAACATGTGGCCGGAGGGCCAAAAGTGGCCACTGGGCAATCTCCAACTGGTCCCCAATATCCTTAACTGGAAAGAAGTTTTTAAAACAAGTTGATGAAAACTTGCATTGTATGAAACATCTTGGACAAACGTGTGCAAAACTATTGCATTAAGACTGGCCCAAACCTTTTAGTGCCTCATAATGGTTTGTTTCCACAACTAGACTGGACCTTAAAGACTCAAAAAGAAAATCTATGGTTTTATATCCTGATCCATGCTCAATAAACCAGTATGATAAATCAATGAAAAATGAAATACAGGCCAGCTCATCTTCTCAATGCACCAAAATAAATAATAATATTTAGATTCAAGTTCAACTTAAAGAACCATCAAAGAACTGGGATAAATCAAAACATTTGTTTCTCATGTTGTGTAGGCGATCAACTTTTAAAACAAGTTCATCAAACTAATACAGTTGTTTCTGAATGGGAATCATTGGAATGTCATTACTGTTACAGTGAAGCAATATAGTTTTCCCTCAAACACACTTTTGTTTGTTCAGTCAACAAAGACGTTCTGTGATCTTTATTCATAACACTTCATAAATCAGTGCTTAACATTGTAGTGAACCTGATGACCTCAAATCTATCAGATGGACAGAGACTGTTATTTCATTGATCTGAATACAGTTTGAGCCATCTGGAGACTTTCTTTCTTGAAGATTCAAGTGAAAAGAACACTCTCTTTTTATTATCATTACTATTTTACAAATGTTTGATAATCAAATTGTGTGAGTTCACTCAATGCTTACAGGTTGAAGAGAACTACTCATTTTTATTTTACATAAACAGTAAG